AGTAGGCGGCCTTGTCCTCCGTGTGCATCTGTGGGACTCAAGGGGTAAAAGTTTAATCCTTGACAAATGCCCCAGCTTGGAACAGCCTGTCACTCGACTGCCGGAGGACTGCTCAGCGGCACCTGGTGAGAGCCCCGCCACTCGGGCTGCAGCTGGCCCGGGAGAGCCTTTTCCGCTGGTCTCTCATAAGGCTGCGTCTCCTAGTGCCGGCACTGGGGCTGCTGGTGACTTTTGGGGTCTGGCCCTGGCAGGATTTTGCCCCCATGCCCCATCAGAACCTTTCACCGCTGACCTAGATTGATAACCTGCTTTATCTAATCTCCAGTTCTGAGTCAAAGGTGTCACAGGTGACAAAGGGCTTCCCATAGTGCATTTCAAACAGCCGAGTGGTGACCAGTCTCAGGTGCCATTCTCATCCCGGGGAAGGGTCGTCTATGCCATGTGTCTGAGGTGTCCCAGGCCATAGCAGAGAGCTAGATCAAAAGTGGAGCAGCCAGGTCTTGAACCCGGCAGCCATATGGGTTGTCAGGGCTTCAGGCCGGGGCATTAACCTGCTGAGCCACAGCGCCAGCCCTTCTCCCTCTCCCCTCCCCTCCCCTCCCCTCCCCTGCCTCTCCCCTCCCTCTCATTCTGCCTTCCCCCTCCCTTTCTCCTTCCCCCTCCCCTCCCCTCCCTTCCCCCTCCCTATCCCACTCCCTCTCTCCCTCTCCCTCCTCCTCCCCCTCCCCTTCTCCCTTTCCCTCTCCCTCTCCACCTTTCCAATAAAAATAAAACAAATCTTTAAAACTTAAAACAGCAACAAGAGGACGTGGCAGCCAGTGGCGCCCTCTGTGCACTGGAGACCTGAACTTGCTGATGGGGAGGAGGAGGTGTCAATACTCAGGTGTGTCCCAGCCCCACCTTTGGAAATGTGTGAGGCTGGGCCGTGTGTTGCTTTGGGGTTAGACAACCAGGAGCTTGGTTGTCCTCAGTCCCTTGGGTGACCCTGGAAAAGTGACCAATGTGGTGTCGCTGTCCCTGTGATGGGCTGAGCAGAACTTGCCTCCCCAAAACTCAGGCAGGTGTGGAAACCGTCACGACTGAAAAGTTGCTGGATTAAGGCTGAGAGGTGATCTGATTGTGGTGGGCAGGAGGTGGAGCCGGTGGGAGTCTGCGGGTCACAGACCGGGCCTTCCCTGGCCCAGTGGTTCTCATGAGAGGGGTCCTTAATGTTGGAGCTCAAGTTCTGCCTAGCTGCAGGTGCTTCCCGCCAGCCACGGCCTCCACAAACAGCTGACGCTGAACCACAGCACTGAGCTGCAAGCTCCTCCCAGGTGTTTAGTTAAAATACTGGAGTGAAGACTGATATGAGCCCAAACGCAGAAATAGATTGGAGTTTCTCCTTCCTTCATCATAACTCACTGAGCTCCTTCCATGCGTCAAGAACCGAACTAAGTGCCAGAGGTACAGACAGCATGTCGGACTGGCGAGGTCCCCCCTGGATTTCAGCAAGTAGGCCCCTCAGTGTTTTGTGTGCTGTTCGGTTCTATGAGGGTGAGCACAGGACACCTTCCTACGCCCCTTCCTTTGTCTTTGTCCTCTAAGTGACCCCAGGTTAGGCACACACCGCCCAGAATTGTACCCCACTTCTCAGCTCCTCCTTTTACTTTCGGTTCGCCCAGCGAATTCACATAAGGACTGATCATCCCAGAATTCGGAACCAAGTCATCTTCCCTCACTCGAGAGAGGTGACGCTCTGGAGACACTGCGTGGGCATACGGCCTTGACCTAACGAATCAAGGAAGTCCCCCACTAAGCACAGGACATGGGTATGATCTGATACACCACTGTCTGTTTGTCTAACGTAGGGAACCCCTGCACAATGCCATCAGCCACTGAGGTGCTAGGAATTTGTTTTGTTATGGCAGCAGTGCTGTGGGTGTCTTTCCTTTGGCTAGAGTTGGCGTGGCACGCTGCTCTTAAACACTCAAACATGGGAAAGAGACCCCCCTCTCAGAATCCCACACAGATTACCAAACAGAGTGAATCTGTGAGTGATAGGAGCCTGTCACTCCAGCCTCTGCCTCACATGCAACAGTTTATGACTTAGGGAGAAGGAGCTCAGACTGTGAAAATCACAATGTAGCCAACAATATAGCCAACAAGGTAGCAAACAAGGTAGCAAACAAGGTAGCAAAAAATGCAGAAAACAATGTAGCAAACAAGGTAGCAATGCTTCGTTAGCCACTCCCCAAATACTTGTGGGGTAAACACAGACAACCTCAAGGCAATAACCCATACGAGGTCATCCCATCCACACCCAGTGAGGATCCCCACATTTGTGACAGTCCCCAGGCACCCCAGGCTCTCAGGGCAGCCAGTAGACCACATCCCTCCCACATGTCTGCCATAAATGTAGGAGTGGATGCAGAATTCAGGCCCTGGATTCCAATGCCGGTAAAAAGGCTTCTGCTAACCAAGGGTCAAGCATATGCTTGTGTCTTTCCAGAGAATGCGGGATGGCCCATTTGTGTACCAGCCAGAAACATCAAGCCTGCAACTGACAGCCAACCAGAACCAGCTGAACAAGGCTGAGAGTCCGCCTTGGTAGCAGACGCACCTGCCCTATCATCCTACCCTAAGAAACTGCCCATAGCCACATCCGCTACTGCTTTATACCCCCACTAGCTCTGGTCAGCCACTCAAACAGCCCACAGCCTGTGTGCGATCACGCCATTCCTGATAACCATTGTTCCTCATTCCTACCCCTATCTGAGAAAGCACTCCTGTGGTCTCCTGTTTTGTGTGCTGGTTTGTCAATGACAGGTAAGATCCCCTGGGGGCAACCTAAGACAGGCACAGCTGCGTACAGAGACCACATGGAAATGGGGTCAACAATGGTATGGCCAAGAATCATGCCTCCCGTTGCTCAAAAATAAATGAAAAGGGGGAAATGTGGTGGAATGAGAGGGCCATGCCAGGATGGCCGCTGGCATGCAAGCATCAGTTATTCAGCAATGGCTTTAAAACCCACCTGCAACAGATGGCTTCTGATACTGCCTGGCAACAGGTTATGATTGGTTAGAGCATAAACTGCCCCTTGACTGGATTGGCTGCCTTGGCTATATAAGCTGCTGTACCAACTGAAATAAAGGAGACTGCAGGCTGCTCGCCTCTGGCCCGCTTTGACCCGACTCCCGGGGTCTGTGTGGTGACTCCGCACCTCTCGCCCCCACCATGCTCCTCTTCTCAGAACAAATCAACCACAACAGCCTGGGTCTCGGCAGCAGAGCCAGAGGGAGGGGAGGGAGGGAAAGGGAGAAGCTCATATCAAAGCGTGCAGGAGCAAGGCCTGGTGCCCTGAGTGCCCGGATGCAGAGACCCTCAGGAGGGCAGGGGTGAAGGTTCAGGGCTGGTAGGGGGAAGGGCACTGCAGAGAAACCCCAGGGACCAACGGTACCACCTGCCACAGTGCTGCACCCCTGCCCAGGGAGCGAGCACACACTGGCTCTCCCAGGTAAAAGATTCAGATAAGCAAATCAGCACCTAAGGGAAAGAGGCAATGGGTGGGACCCCAGGCAGCAATTACCATGGTCCTCTCCAGCAGCCACAACATGGAGCCTTCCTGGGGCATTATGGTTTCCACAGTACTTTCCCAAGGTGTGTCCCAACTGACTGCTGAGGGCTGAGCTGGAGCTGGGTCCAGGAGGAGCCTTGGCCTCTGCCTGCTCACCTGAGCAGCTTGGAAGGAGCCAGGTGGAGGGTGTTGTGCTGGGAGGGAGGCGCCAGCCCCTGCCTTGCCTTGGCCTGAAGCCCCTGGCCTGCCCAGGCATTAAGGAACCTGGAGCCCTTGTCTGTGTGCCACAGAGGGGATGGGCGGAGTGCCAGGGAAGGAAAGATGGGGTGGGTGGGAGTCCTCCCCTCCTCCCTGTGACCCTGGGAGCTCCCTGTCCCCACCTCACCCCAACCCCCACCACCAGCCACCTGACCCCAGATGCCAGGCTCCTGTAGGAAAGAGCCTCCTTGGCCAGGGCTGTGGCATAGCAGGAAAAGTCGCCACCTGCAGGGCCACCATCCCCTATAGGCACTGGTTTGGGTCCAGGCTGCCCCAGTTATGATTCAGCTCTCTGCTATGGCCTGGGAAAGCAGCAGAAGATGGGCCCAGTCCTTGAGCCCCTGCACCTGTGTGGGAGACCCGGAGGAAGCTCCTGGCTTTGGATTGGCGCGACTCCGGAACTTGCAGCCATCAGCAGAGTAAATCAGGGGACCGAAGACCTCTGTCTCTCTCTGACTCTCAAATCTGCCTTTCAAATAAATAAATAAAATCCTCAAAATTAAAAAAAAAAAGAAAAAGAAAGAGCCCCCACCCCTGTCCCTTCCTGAGAGCAAGGAGGGGCGAAGCTCTGGGCAATCCCCCCTCTGGTCTGTCTCCCTTGGTGCTGCCCCTCCCCTGCACACCCCCACACCCACACCCTCCTCCCAGGGTCAGCCCAGACTGACAGAGCCAAGACTTCCAAAGATCAGTCTCAGAGGGAGCCTGGACACTTCTGGGGCTCCCAATCCATGCATCTCCCCAGCCACTGCCTGGACCCTGGGAGAGGGGACACCGGTGACCCCACCTGGAGCCCTGCAGGCAGAGATGGCTGCCAAGATGGACATCTCTGCAGCTGCTGTGTCTCCTGGCCTTTGAAGCAGTGGCTGGAAGTAGTGGGCATCTTCCATTATGTATTTGCTTTTCTGTTCCTAGGTGAGAATAAGGGGGAAGGAGTGGAGGGCTCTGCCTGGTTAGAGGGCATTGGAGGGAGGATCGCATTGTGGGAGGCTTGGACACCTGGGGACTGGACAGGCCATTTGCCCCTGCAAGGGGATCCCTGCAGGTGGAGGACGAGAGGTGTGGCTGCATAACTGGGGTTCCTGAGAAATTCATTTTTCTTCTTCAGTGTTCTCCCGTTCCTTTTGCTGTGGTTCTTCTCCTCTTCCTCCTCTTCACACGGCTCTGGCCTCTGTCTGTTCTCTACTTGATGTGGATCTACCTGGACCGGAACACTCCCAGCCAAGGTGAGCTCTGGGCAGGGCTCCAGGTGGGGAGAGATGGAGAGGGTACATTAGGGACTCTGCCAACCCCATCACTGCCCGCAGAGGTAAGACAGATTGTGTTGACAAAAAGATGGAGGATTTGGAAACATCAAAGGGATTACTTTCATTTCAAGGTGAGGGGTCACCTCCCCAGAGAAGCCTCCTCCCCCTTCCCCACCCCACTCCCTTGCACCTGCTCCCCCTTCCCTGTCCTGCAGCCTGAGACCCACTGCCTAGGCTCACAGAGGGGCAGGTGTGGAGAGGTGCACCTGACCCCATCCCAGGGCCTTGACCTCTGAAGTCTGCAGGGGCAGAGGCAGCACCTGCAGCTGCTGTCTCCCCTCTCGGCCTCCCTCCTCTCCTGCAGCTGGTGAAGACAGCAGAGCTGCCCCCCAGCCAGAACTACGTGCTGGGATCCCACCCCCACGGGGTCATGAGCACTGGAGCCTTCTGTAACTTCACCACCGACTGCAATGACTTCTCACAGCGCTTCCCAGGGCTGCAGCCCTGGCTAGCCACACTGGCCGGCCTCTTCTACCTTCCAGTCTTCCGAGACTACATCATGGCTAGTGGTGAGCCACAGGCTAAAGGGCAGGAGACAGCCCCTGGCCAGGGCGTTCTGCACTAGGACTCCACACCTGTCCTGAGCACTGGCAATGCTCTCCTTTAGCACTGGGTGGGCTGGGGTTGGAAAATGAGATGTGGGGCTCCCCTTCCCTTGCTAATGGGTGAGGTGAGGGACTCGGGAGAGCCACTGATGGAGTCGTGACTGCTACCCACTGCACATGACACAGGACTGCGTCCCGTGAGCCGGCACAGCCTGGACTTTGTGCTGTTTTAGCCACAGTGGGGCAAGACAGTGGTCATTGTCACTGTACACGGCCCCAGGGTGGCACTGCCTCGCACTCAAAAAACACAAAGGCTTCGTGTGCCTGGCGCTGAGACACGGGTGAGTGGGCATGTAGGAGCGGAGGCTGGGCTGGGTCCCGGGTCAGACCTCAGAATACCTGCAGCTGACATAGCGCTCTCAGGAGCCGACAGCACACCCTGCACCAGGACGCACCTGTCGGCCCTGATGCCACCTTGTCAGACCTGGCTGTGCCCACTTCTCCTCAGTGAGCAGCCTCAGATTGACACCAGCAAGGACGTTGGGCCCAGAGCCCTGGGTTCTCCTTGTGACCCTGTCTCAGAGACAAAGCCATGTTCTTCACCTTGACCTTGACCTGTAACAGGGCTGTCGCCTGCCTTGCCACCAGGCTGCAGCTGTAAACACTGAGTGAGAACAGGAATATGCCAAGCCCACCACACAGCCATTGGTCAAGACAGCTGAGGCTTCCTTCCAGAACTTTCCGGGAAGACATAAGAGCTTCCAGACCATGGGAAGTGGCCTCAGGAGACAGGGGAGGGACTTTTTGCCCCCAGAGTGCCAGTGTGTCCGTCTAGGACACTCAGCAGCGTCCTCTCTCTTTCTCGCCCCTCCCAGGGCCTCCCTGGTGCCTGTGTACTCCTTTGGGGTGAACGACACCTTCAAAGGTATGAATTTCTCCAAAGGCTCCTGGCAGTACCTGTGCCAGGTCACCTGCAAGAGGGTCACCAGCATAGCTCCCTGCATCTTCTGGGGCCGTGGTCTCTTCTTGCACAACTCCTGTGGTCTGCTGCCCCTGCCCATGCCCATCACCACCGTGGGTGAGTGCCCATCTGCAGGGAGGAGGCTGCCGTGGGTGGCACGGCCAGCGGCAGCTCTGGCTCACCCGTGTCTCCCTCCCTGCAGTGGGCGGCCCCATCCCCGTGCCCCAGTGCAGCAGCCCCAGCCAGGAGCAAGTTGACCACTACCACAGGCTCTACATGGACGCCCTGGAGCGGCTGTTTGAGGAGCACAAGGAGAGCTGCGGGGTCCCTGCCTCCACCCACCTCACTTTCTTGTAGGCTTGGTTCAGCCTCCCTGCTGAACCCCTGAGCCCCGTGCACTTCGACCCCCAGCTCCTGCCTTGCCCCGCCCCTGCTATAAAAATCCATTCTGCCAGTGAGCAGGGCAGGTACAAGCCACCCAGCCTTATTCTCTCCCCCTCCACCCAACCTGTCTGATAAGTCCTTGGCTGGCCTTTGGATGCAAAACCCTGAGCCCAGCCTTTGCGGATCCGTGCTCAGGACGGACTGTGGCGCTGGGACAGGAGTAAGGAGCTGCTGTGGCCAGGCGGGTGCGCCCACACCGTGCTGCAAGGAGCCTCGTGGGCGCCTGCCTGAAACTCGGCCGCACCCCTGCGCCCGTGGGGCCTCTCCAGGTTTGGGAGAAGGAGCTCTTGAAGCAGTGCCTGAACCCGCCAAGCTGCTGGCTGTGCTGCGCGCCACGAAGTGCTGGGCCACCGCGGTTCCCAGGCCGCCTGCGCCCCCTGCTGCCCTTCCATGCCCATCCACTACACCTGTGAGCCCCAGACTGGCCCTTCAGCTCAAGCAGTGTCCCAGGAGACAGGCGGGGTCCCTGTCGCGCGCCGGCCAGGCAGGTCCCCGAGGTGGTCCTCAAGCCTCGCTCTCCCGAGTGGTCCTTTGGCTACTGCCCCAGTGCTGAACTCTGGCCCTGCCTCTCCTGGCTGCAGGAAGGGGCCGCTGTGGTCCCTGCAGCGGCTGCGGTGACCTCTGTGCAGAGATGCGGGCGTGCAGGGGCTGTAGGCAGCTGTGTGAGGAGCCCGGGGCGCTCTACCGCCTCCCTGTGGACAGGCATCTCCTCCTCACCTAGCCTGGTCGGAGTCTGGCCCCAATGGGAACCTTCCATGCTGGGTCTGGTGTGGGGGTGGGTGCAGAGGGCCTGGAGGTGAGAGGGCAAATTAAAAGGTGGAAAGAGACAGGATGAGTCTGTGTGTGTGGTGCGTGCAGGCTCCCCGTGGAGCCTTGAAATTCTCAGACCATGGCAAAGAGGTCAACACACAGGGTCCGAGCATCAGCTGGCTGTGCTGTTCTTAGCTGACGGGGAAGACATGGGGACCTGGGGTCTGCCAGAGGAGAAGGCGGACAAGGGGCAGGTGGCCGTGCGGGTGGCCTGGACACCCAGGCAAAAGGACAGGGGTAGGACCACAGGAGACGCCACTGCCCGGTGGTCTCTGCAGGCAGGGGTTGTGGGGGGAGCTGGGTGCAATCACCAGGCTCCCAGGGGAATTCACTTGTCTTTCTCACCGTCCCCCAGGCTCTTGTTCCTTCTTTCTTCTCTTCCTCTCCTCTTCACACGGCGCTGGTCTCTGTCTCTTCCCTACCTGATGTGGCTCTGCCTGGACAGAGCTCCAGGTGGGGAGAGGTGGGGAGGGTGCCTCAGGGACTCTGCCAGCCGCATCTCTGCCCGCAAGGGGAAGGTGGTGGGAGTGGACAAGGAACTGAGTGATGTGGAAACACCAAAGGGATTACTTTCCTATCAAGGTGAGGGGTCACCTCCCCAGATACGCCTCCTCCCCCTTCCCCACCCCACTCCCCTGCACCTGCTCTCCCTTCCCTGTCCTGCTGCCTGAGACCCACTGCCTAGGCTCACAGAGGGGCAGGGGTGGAGAGGTGCACCTGACCCCATCCCAGGGCCTTGACCTCTGAAGTCAGCAGGGGCAGAGGGAGCACCTGCAGCTGCTGCCTCCCCTCTCTGCCTCCCTCCTCTCCTGCAGCTGGTGAAGACGGCAGAGCTGTCCCCCAGCCAGAACTACGTGCTGGGGGCCCACCCCCACGGGGCCATGGGCACCAGGGCCTTCTGTAATTTTGCAGCACCTCCCAGGATTGCCCTGTGCTTCAGCCATGGCTGGCCTGGCTGGCCGGCTTCTATGTCCCCATGTTCTGGGAGTGCATCATGCCTGGGGGCGAGCCGTCCCTGAATGGGAGGAAGCAGCCCCTGCAGAAGCTGTTTCTCACCACAGCAGGACCCTCTCCCTGCCTCCAGACTGAGGGACCTGCCCGGAGCCCTGACTGTGCCGTGCGGTGGGCTCAGGCTGGGAGCTGGAGGGTTTGGGGCTCCCCCTCCCTGGGCTAAAGGTTGAGGTGGGGGAATAGGGATGCCCAGAAGGGGCAGCGACTGCTCCCACCTACCTGGCCTCAGGACTGCGCCCCGTGAGCCGTCACAGCCTGGACTTTCTCCTGGACTTTCCCCAGCTATGGCAGATGGTGGTCATCCTGATATGGGCGCCCATGGGGCCCTGTCTGTGGCACCAGGGCAGCTCTGCTTGGATCACAAAGGTGTCAGTCGCGGGTGGGTGGGTTTGCAGGTCCTGATGCTGGGCTGGCGTCCACTCAGCCCCCTGACCTCCCAGTTCCTGTAGGTGGCACTGCAGGTCCCCAGAGCTGAGCAACTGGACAGTACTGTCAGCTCTGGTGCCTTCTGTGATACACAGTGTTTCAGGCTCCCAGGCTCTGTGCCACCGCTCTGAGCAAGACCCGGTCACTCTGGAAAGAACAGGGCCCTAGGGCTTCCTTTCTCACCGTGTATGAGGCAAAGCCTTGGACTTGACCTTGACCTGCACACAGGGCTGACACCTACCTGTCTTGCCACCAGGCTGCAGCTGCAAAGACTGAGAACATGAATACACCAAGCCCACTACACAGCCATTGGTCAAGACAGCTGAGGCTTCCTTCCAGAAAGTTCTCTGCACAGTCATGTGGGAAGTGGCCTCAGGCATCAGCTATTTGTGATGAGAAGGAGGTTTATTCAGCTCACGGTGTTGGAGATTCAAGGTCATGGTGCTGTAACAGCTCAAGTTCTGGTCAGGACCTCTGGAGTGTGGTAGGTGGCCATTACAGCAGAGAGGGAGAAGAAACTGGGCCCTGCAATTCCTTTCTTTTTCTTTTTCTTTTCTTTTTTCTTTCTTTCTTTCTTTTCTTTTCTTTTTTTTTTTTTTTTTTGACAGGCAGAGTGGACAGTGAGAGAGAGAGAGAGACAGAGAGAAAGGTCTTTTTTTTTTTTTTTTTTTTTTGCCATTGGTTCGCCCTCCAATGGCCACCGCGGCCGGCGCGCTGCAGCCGGCGCACCGCGCTAATCCGATGGCAGGAGCCAGGTGCTTCTCCTGGACTCCCATGTGGGTGCAGGGCCCAAGGACTTGGGCCATCCTCCACTGCATTCCCTGGCCACAGCAGAGAGCTGGCCTGGAAGAGGGGAAACCGGGACAGAATCCGGTGCCCCGACTGGGACTAGAACCCCAACATTCCTTTCTAAGGTGACTCCAGCACCTCCCACCAGGCCGCAGGTCTTCAAGGCACACACACCTCCCTGGGGACCGAGTTCCCGACACACAGATGTTGAAAGGGACAGAGACCACGTGGAAACCGCAGCAGAGCCTGTGTGTGGTCAGGGCATCCCCCGGCACCTGCCTGTCCTACTCAATCCCTGGCACCTTGTCTGCGCCTGGGACTTACACAGAAAGAACATGTGGCCGTATCATGGGAATGCCACTTGGTCGTCCACTGTCCAACAAAATCTCTTCTCGGGAGATCTTCCCCTCGTCCCTGGGCCAGCGTCCAGGCGGCCCTCTGGCTTGTCGGGGCCATTCCCGGGCGATGAGCTCCACGGCCACGCCAGCGGCAGCCTGGGGTCGCTTCCTCTGCTTAGAGTCCATGCTCCACCCTCGGTCCAAGGCTGGGACTTTGCCCTTCACGGCAAGGGAGGCTGCAGGATGCTCCAGGGCCTAGGAGTGGAGCTGTGGAGGGGGAGAGCAGAGAAGAGGATGTTTTTAATTTGGGGCGCACAGAGAGAACCTGGCAGACAGCGGCCGCGGGAGCGCCTACCCTCCGGTTCACTCCAAACGCCCACAAGGGCTTCAGGCAGCCAGGCCTAGGGGAGGACCTGGTGTCTCTGTCCAGGATTCTGTGTGGGTGGCAGGAATCCAACCATGGGAGCCATCCCCCTGCCTCCCAGAACCGTCATTAGCAAGGAGCTGGGTGAGGAGCTGCATGGGTGGGGGTGGAGCCAAAGGAGGGGCGGGGCCTCTCTGTGGGCTGGGGGGAGGGTGGAAGGGCCTCAACCTGCATTCCAAGCCCAAGGAGCCCTGGGTGAGGGGTGGGGGTGGGGAGGGCTCAGCAGGAGGGAGGACAGGACCACAGAAGTCAAGAGGCCCAGCTGGGACAGAGAAGCCAGGATGACCCCGCTGAGGACGGGAGCTGACCTGAGCCCAAGCCAGGCCCACGTGGGAGCTGCCTGGGGTTTGGGAAGCCAGCAGGGCCAGTTGATCCAGAAAGTGGGGACATCACGTCTGAATGGCCAGAGCAGGACACCCGGAGGGAGCAAGCTTCCTGGTTGAAGGATCCGATTGGGGGCAGAGGCCAAGGCAGGAAGCACAAGGGTGCTGGAGGTCAAGGCCGGGCCCTGCTTCTGGGAGAGACTCATCCCTGAGTGTGTGCCGCAATGTGGGCTGCTCAAGACAGGGCAGAGGACTTCCTGGGGGCCAGTGAGAGGAGAGACAGACAGACAGACAGAGGTGGACACGGAGGGGGAGGCCACACAGAGGCGCCGGGGTTCCTTTAGGAGAGGCCCAGCCTCACACCCACCGTGAGAAGGATACTGGGGTTATATATATTTTGTATTTTTTAAAAGGTTTATCCATTCACTTGAAAGGCAGAGTTACAGAGAGGAAGAGCCAGAGGCAGAGAGAGAGAGAGAGAGAGGTCTTCCATCCACTGGTTCACTCCCACGATGGCCACAACGGCCAGAGCTGCGTCAATCTGAAGCCAGGAGCCTCCTCCAGACCTCCCATGTGGGTGCAGGGGCTCCAGCACTCGGGCCATCCTCCACTGCTTTCCCAGGTGCATTAGCAGGATCTGATGGGAAATGGAGCAGCTGGGACTCAAACGGCGCCCATGTGGGACGCTGGCATTGCTGCAGCTTAACAACTCTGGGCCCAGATTTTTAAAGAATCCTTACTTTAGAGAGACATACAGAACTATTTACCGATGCAACGAGAGAAAAATCTGCAACTGACTGTAAGGTGGTTGGGGAGGTGGGAGGTAGCTACAAGGCGACCAGGACAGCATTGATGGCAGTGGATCATCGCCGACGCCACAGAGGGCGTACCGGGGCTGCCCTGTTCTGATGCCTCTGTTTCTAAACAGATGACTCATTTTAGATGACAAAAAAAAATACATACTGTGCATAACATGGTGTTTTTGAAATCCATGTTCTCTCCAATTGTGTGTCAAATATATGCCCAACCAATTTTTAAAGATTATTTACTTATTTGAGAGACACAGACAGCGAGACACACCTGTCTCCCATCTGCTATTTTCTTCCTAAAATGCCCGCGACATCCAGGACTGGCTCAAGGCTGGGAATTCAGGCCAGGAACTCCAGGTGGTTGCTAGGAACCCAACTACTGGGGCCGGTGCTGTGGCATAGCCGGTAAAGCCGCCGCCTGCAGTGCCAGCATCGTGCATGGGCGCTGCTTCGAGTCCTGGCTGTTCTACTTCCAATCCAGCTCTGCTGAGACCTGGGAAAGCAGCAGAAGATGCCCAAGTCCTTGGGCCCCTGCACCTGCATGGGAGACCTGGAAGAAGCTCCTGGCTCCTGGCTTCTGATTGGCCCAATTATGGCCATTGTGGCCAACTGGGGAGTGAACCAGCGGATGGAAGTCCTCTCGCTCTCTCTCTTTCTCTCTCTCTGCCTCTCCTTCTCTCTCTGTGTAACTCTGACTTTCAAATACATAAATAAGTCTTAAAAAAATAGAAAAAAGGGAAGCCAGCTACCGGAGTCACCACGGCTGCCTTCCTGTGGAATCCATCAGACCCCTGGCAAACCACATCGATATTGTCTGAGTAAACCAGCAAGGGGAGAACACGACAGCCGCGGTGGCCTCTGTGTCCTGGAGACGTGAACCTGCGGGCTGGGGGATGGGATGTGACATTCCAGCTGTGTCACACCGCTCCTCTGTGGCTGGCTTTGGGTTGTGTTAGGAGCCTGGGTTTCCTGTATCCAATTGGACGCCCTTGGGGACGTGGTCAGCCAGGTGTCACTGTCCCTGTCACCCCGTGAGCAGGACTCATTTCCCCTAAAGTCCCGCAGAGCCTGCACACCAATGGCTTTCTGTCCACGGTTGATGCATGAGGGGTGGAGACGTGATGTACAGTCATGCTGACTGGACGACAGGTGCAGCCACCTACAGATAAGGGAGCTGTGGCTCCGGGACTCAGCAGGCAGGGGATGGCAGCCGGGACATCGCTCTTCTGCCAGGCTCTGCAGCTCCCTTTCCCGCGGGGCTCAGGGGAGGCTCTCGGCTCTCACTGGCTGCGGGCCAGTCACCTAACCCTGTGGTCTTTGGTCTCCTCCTTAGCTGCTAGGACACGGGCTGGGAAGATGGCGAGGCCTGCAGAGCCCGAACCGGGGAGGCAGGGGAGGGGAGAAGGCTCAGTTCAAAGTGTGCAGGGACAAGTCCAGGTCCCCTGCGTGCCCCTGCAGAGACCTTCAGATGGACAGGGTGAAGGTTCAGGGGTCACAGGGAGAGCGGGGTGGGGCGGGGGGAGGGTAGTGTGGAGGATCGCCAGGGACCCACGGCACCCCTGGCCCAGGGAGCGCTGAGCACACACTGGGCTCTCCCAGAATAAAGCCCCAGCGGGCACAGGCCACTCGCGCTGCAGGCAGAGCCACCAAGGACGTCCCAGCCGCGGAGCGCTGACCCTCGCTCTGTGGTTCCAGTTGCAGTCAGTCCCCAGGGCCTGTCCCCCACTGACTGCTGAGGGCTGAGAGGGCAGGGGTCCTGGGTTTGCGGGCAGAGACCCCGACTGTGGCCCTCACCACCCGCGGGGTCTCCCCCAAGTCACAGAGCCTCCCAGAATCGGCTTCCCTGCCTGTGATGACCCAAGTGTGCCTCCTGCCATGCGGCGAGGACCAGGCCACATGCCTGATTGGTTGATGGAACAGGAAGTGGGTGAACTGTGAACCAATCAAATAATTTCCAGATGCAAAAGCTGAGGGGTCTGGTGAAAGGAGCGGGTTACAGTCTGATCGCCTCTCCCTTTTTGTGTAAGGTTCATTTATTTATTTTAAAGGCACAGTTACAGAGAGGGAGGGAGAGAGAGAGAAAGAGAGAGACTGAGAGAGGGAGGGGGGGTGAGAAAGAGAGAGAGAGAGTTCTTCCATCTTCTTCCATCTGCTGGTTCACTCCCCAAATGGCTGCAATGGTCAGAGCTGAGCCAATCTGAGGCAGGAGCCAGGAGCTTCTTCTGGGTCTCCCACAGGGCTGCAGGGGCCCAAGGACTTAGCATCTTCTACCGCGGGAGGGTCCTGGGCTGACCTCAGCAGCCATCACCACTCGGTCACGTCCACAGCACTTGACAGCCAGGAAGGGGCTCTATCCATCCCTGAGCCGCTCTGACCAGGGGGACTGCAGGTGCGGGTTCTCAGCTGTGGGTGGGGCAGGCAGCCCCGCAGGTGTCGAGAGCCTGGGCCGCCTATATGGGAGACCAAGCTTATGCCGGAGCAAGCCCCAGCCACTGAGGGTGTTTAGGAAGTGAACCAAGAGGCAGCAGATTCACATCAGCATCAGCATCAGCATCATCATCATCTCTCTCTCTCTCTCTCTCTTTCTGTTTCACATCTCTCTCTGTCTCTCCCCCCTTCAAATAAATAAACTAATATTACAAAGATGCACAATTCCCACACAGTGCCTGGGTTCAATACACACCTCTGGCACCTGACGCTCATAACTGCCAGCTCTGAGCTAAGCAGCAGCCTTGCTTCACAGGGGGAGCAGGGGCCCAGGAGGGGGAGACGTCTCCCAGGTCCCGGGGCACAGTCAGCTCTCCTGGCAGGAGAATGCAGGGTGCTGAGACCCACCCCAGGCGGCCCCTCTGCAGCAGACAGGACGGGGTGGCAGTGCCTGGCCGCACTCCCTCCAGAACCAGCCTTTATTGGAGGGGAGGTCAAGGCGGGAGCTGGGGTCGCAGTGCACAGGGCTCAGGAGCTGAGTTGGGAGGCTGAGCCAGGCCTAGAAGAAGGTGAGGCGGGTGGAGGCAGGGACCCCGCAGCTCTCCTTGTGCTCCTCAAACAGCCGCTCCAGGGCGTCCATGTAGAGCCTGTGGTAGTGGTCAACTTGCTCCTGGCTGGGGCTGCTGCACTGGGGCACGGGGATGGGGCCGCCCACTGCAGGGGAGGGAGACACGGGTGAGCCAGAGCTGCCGCTGGCTGTGCCACCCACGGCAGCCTCCTCCCTGTAATGGGCACTCACCCACGGTAGTGATGGGCATGGCCAGGGGCAGCAGACCCCAGGAGTTGGGTGAGAAGAGACCACGGCCCCAGCAGATGTAGAAGGGCAAACCAACGATCTTATGGTAGAGTGACTGGCACTGGTGCTGCCAGGAGCCTTCGATAAAAGCCTTAGTTTTAAAGATGTCATTCTCCCCAAAGGAGTACACAGGCACCAGGGAGGCCCTGGGAGGGGCAGAAGAGAGAAGACACTGGTCAGGTTCCGGTCTGACCTCCCCCAAAGGGTACCTTGGGGACGGCTTGTCTCTCCTGTTGCCTCCTGAGGTCACTTCCCAAGGTGTTTGGAGACACATGATCATGGCTGCACAGAACATTCTGGAAGGAAGCCTCAGCTGTCCTGACCAATGACTGCAGTGGGCTCGCATACTCATGTTCTCACTCAGTGTTTACAGCTGCAGCCTGGTGGCAAGGCAGGGATCCGCACTGTGTAGTGGTCAAGGTCAAGTCCAAGGCTTTGTCTCCAAGATAAGGTTACAAGGAGAACCCAGGGTGTCTGGAACCTGGAGCCCTGCTGTTTTCAGTCTGAACCTGCCCTGTTTAGAGCGGTTAGGAGCCTGGGACAGGGCACAGCACAGAGAAGGCACGCAGGCTGGAAGGAACCTCTAGGTGCAAGAGGCGAAACCCTGGGGACCCACAGCCTCACCTGCAGGGGCTGGGACGCCTGGGCAGGGCAAGGCCAGCCCGGCCTTGGCACCTGCATGCCCACTCACCCATGCCTCAGTGCCAGGCGCACGAAGCCTTTGCGATCATGGAGCTTGACTAAGTGCCGTCCTGGGGCCGTGGATAAGAGTTCCTTGCCTCCTCCAATCATGATGACCATTGCCTGGCCCCGCTGAGGCAGAGACAGCACAAAGTCCAGGCTCTGGCGGCTCACGGGACGCAGTCCTGGGTCATGAGCAGTGGGGAGCAGTCACCACTCCCTCTTTGGCTCCCGATTCCCACACCCCAGCCGTTAGCAGGGGAAGAGGGAGCCCCACATCTTGTGCTTTCCGAGCTCTGGATCCCCATCTCAGTCCCTGCTGAGCCTGGCGATGCTGAGGGCAAGTCTGGTCCTGATGGGGGCAAGAGCTCCTGGGGCAGATGAGGGCCAGACCTGCTTCCTCCCCTTCACTTGGCTCACCACTCAGCATAATGTAGTCCCGGAAGATTGGGATGTAGAAGACCCTGGTCAGTGTGGCTATCCAGGGCTGCAGCCCCGGGAAGAGCTGGGAGAAGTCATTGCACTCAGTGAGGAAATTACTGAAGGTTCCGGTGCACATGACCCCGTGGGGGTGGGCCCCCAGCACATAGTTCTGGCTGGGGGGCAGCTCTGCCGTCTTCACCAGCTGCAGGAGAGGAGGGAGGCAGAGAGGCAAGGCAGCAGCTGCAGGTGCTGCCTCTGCCCCTGCTGACTTCAGAGGTCAAGGCCCTGGGATGGGACAGGTGCACCTCTCCACCCCTGCCCCTCTGTGAGCCTAGGCAGTGGGTCTCAGGCTGCTGGACAGGGAAGCGGGAGCAGGTGCAGGGGAGTGGGGTGGGGAAGGGGGAGGAGGCAACTCCGGGGAAGGTGGTGACCCCTCACCTTGATAGGAAAGTAATCTCGTTGGTGTTTCCAAATCCTCCAGTGCCTTGTCCACTCCCACCGCCTTCCACCTGCGGACACAGATTTGGGTGGCAGAGTCCCAGAAGCACCCTCCCCATATCCCCCCACTTGGAGCCCAGCCCAGAGCTCACCTTGGCTGGGTGTGTCCCTGTCCAGGTAGATCCACAGCATGTAAAGAACAGACAGAGACCAGAGCCGTGTGAAGAGGAGGAAGAGCAGAAGAAAGACGGAGAAAGGGACTGCGGAAAGGTGAGAAAGAAAAATGAATTCCCCTGGGAAGTCAAGTTCTTAGCCAGCTCCAGCCCTCCTCCACCTGCATGGAACAGTGGGCAGGGACATCTGCCCTGGTCCTGTCCCCATCCTTTGACCCACATGTCCCGGCCAACAGCCCAGCTGTTCCAGCCAGTCCCTCTCCACCAAGCAGCCCCAGCACCTCCGCCTCCCCCTTATTCTCACCTAGGACCACAAAAGCAAGCACATAGTGCATGGCGCCCAGGGCTTCCAGCCACTGCTTCTGCAGGGTCTTCACAGGGCGAGGTGGCATGGAGGATGTGGAGTCAGCCATCCTGGTGCCACCCTCTGCCTGCAGGGCTCCAGGTGGGGTCACAGGAGTCCCCTCCCCCACGGTCCAGGCTGTGGCCAGGGAGATGCCTGTGTCTGGAGCCCCAGGAGTGTCCAGTCCCTCTGAGACTGCTCCTTAAATGTCTGGGCTGACCCTGGGAGGGGCTGGAAGGGGAGGAGGGTGTGCAGGGGGAGGGCAGCACCTGGGTGCAGGGAGTGGTCAGAGCCTGGCTCAGCCCCATTTACCCCTAGACAGTCACAGGTACCAGGAGCCCGACTGAGACCGCACAGAGCGGGACCCCACTCTGGCCTCTTTGGGGGTCTCTGGGAATTTCGGGGCTCCCTGGGGAGCCTCTCCAGATCTTTCCAGGCATCTTGGACCACCCACCATGCAGGCAGACACCCAGACGCCGCAGGTGCCTTCCCACCTTGAATTTCACTCCCCCAGCAAAGGCACCAGTTTGGGGCCAATGTCAGCACCTTGCCCAGGGGAGGACCAGATGCCTGTCTGTGTGGACGCCGTGGTGCACCTGCTCTGCTTCTGCAGCTGTGGGAGCCATTCCAGGTAGAGTGTGTGCAGCACGTCCTCCTGACGCCGCCTGGGCTGTGGGCATCGCTGCACCGGGACTGGGGACTCCTCTGCAGGTGGACAGCAGTCACTGAGATCCCCTGGTCTGCCTGTTTCACAGGAGCCACGGCCATCGAGTTCAGGACTGGAGCAGTTTCCCAAGAAACATCCTGGGGTTCTCGCAGGGCCGGACAATGCTTTCTCCAGAGGCGCGACCCTGAATGGGGAGGGCGGGTCACAAAAGGGACCTCTGGGGCCGTCGCGGGGCTGATACGGGAACCCAGGACTTTCCAGGATTCTCTGGGCTCACATTCAGTGTGGTTGGCACAGAAAGGCGGCAGGAGGCCCAGGGGGCCTTGGGACAGTGGCAGGGTCATGCTCAGTGCGGCTGCAGGGTCACCTGGGCCTGGCACACCCCTGGAAGGCAGCAGGGAGCCCCGGGGGAGCAGGGGTGCGGTGAGCCCTGGTGCCTGCCCCTCTGCTCCCTCCCTCCCCCACTGCTCATGGCCTCCGCTCCAGCACTGGCCGAAGAATCCATTCTGATTGCAGACCCACAGGCACAGGGCTCTGGGTTCAGTCCCAGAAGATCGGGCTCAGCCATTTTCACGAGGTAGCAAGCAGAGACTGCATGGCCCCCACGTGTCCCTGTGGCGTTACTGGGTGGGGTCGGGGGTGGGGGGTTGTGGTGGTTCTAAGTCTCCTCTGAAGCTTCATCCCCCACCCCCACCCAGCACGGTGTTCCCGGTACCCTCGATGAGATGGAGAGCTTGTCACGGAAATGTCCCCTTCTGTTCATGTGTTGGGAGCTCAGTCCCAGAAAGGCAGTATTGGGAGGTATGTGGGCCTTAAAGAGGTGGGGCCTGGGGGGAGGCGCTGGAGTCTTGTGGGGGTGCCTTAGAAATGGATTGTGGGGCCCCAGTGTCCCCCTCTCTGTGATCCTGGTTCCTGATGTAACCACAAACCAACACATCCCAGATGTCCTGACCAGAACTTAGCTGCTACAGGCTCCATGGCCTTGAACCCCCAACACCGAGCTGAATGGCAGCAGCAGTCCCTGGGAGTTGGGTGAGAAGAGACCATGGCTCCAGAAGATGCGGGGAGCTATGCTGGTGACCCTCTTGCAGGTGACCTGGCACAGGTACCTCCAGGAGCCTTTGGAGAAGCCTTGCATCTGAAGATGTCTTTCTCCCCAAAGGAGTACACAGGCACCAGGGAGGCCCTGGGAGGGGCGAGGAAGAGAGAGGACGCTGCTCAGGGTCCTGGTCTGGCCTCACAAAGCTCTTGGGTCTGTGATTCCCTCCCTGTCTTCTGAGGCCACTTCCCAAGGTGTTTGGAGACACATGACCATGGCTGCACAGAACATTCTGGAAGGAAGCCTCAGCTGTCTTGACCAATGGCTGTGTGGTGGGCTTGGCTTACTCCTGTTCTCACTCAGTGTTTACAGCTGCAGCCTGGTGGCAAGGCAGGCATCAGCCCTGTGTACAGGTCAAGGTCAAGTCCAAGGCTTTGAGACAGATTTGGAAAAGGAAACTTGATTCTGAGCCCAGAGGCCCTGCTCTTGCAGGCTGTACTTGCCCTGTGGGTGAGCGTGGGGGGCATTTGTGAAAGTGTGTCCATGAGGCTAGGGAACAAGGCATGCCAAGGCTGGCAGGACCCTACAGGTGTGGGGAACAGTCGTCCGCTCTGGGGACCCATGGTCCACCACACCTGTGACTGTTCAGGGAGGGCCCAGCCCTCCTCGGGACCTGCTGCCCACTCACCTGGGCCTCAGCGCCCGGCGCAAGAAAACTTGTCAATTCAGGAAATCCAGGCTGTGCTGTCCTGGGGCGGTGTACAGGGCCTCCTGGGCACCCCTCCCCATCACGATGACCACCGCCTGGCCCCACTGGGGCTGAGACAAGACCTAGGCTAACAGGATGTTATCCAGGGTCATGAGCAGTGGGTAGCAGTCACCGCTCTCTCTGTGGCTCCCAATTCCCTCACTCCCACATCTTGTTTCTTCCAAACCCTCCATCCCCCGATCTGTGCCCCCTGCAGAGAGTGGTCAGTGCTCAGGTTGGGTCCAGCTGTCTAGGTGGAGGCCTTTGTAGTGGTGGGGAATGGTCTGACCAGAGGCTGCTTCCTCATTCACTTTGAGGCTCAACACTGAGTGTGATGTAATCTTGG